CGCGAACCCCTTTTCGCTGATTACATTTTTTTTCTTATCAACAATATTTGACAAACACGTTTTATTTTAATATCACAATTTTCACAATACTTTTTTCCTCTCTCGAGTAATAAGTAAAAGTAATAAGGATCGCTGCAATAACGATAGATGAAGTTCATGGGGTAGGAAGTATGGCGAAAACTTAGTAACACTTTTGATAAGTGTAAACCTTTTGGAAATTTTGTTTGTTTTCAAATGGGCTTTTTAAACGCTGTTCGCAGGCATCTCGGATCTTTCATATTGCTGCGAATGTAAGATTTATCAGTGTTGTCTGAAGGGTGGTTAAGTAGAAATTTGGTCATTACGGATCATTTTGGCCTCCCTATCATCGCTGGACTGTCAGACGCGTTTTCCCATTTGGTCATCATCAGTGGTCGGCTAGTGCGTTTTCTGTTGAATTTGAACATTTTTATACGTTCGACATACCAGGCCACAAGCCGGCAAATATGAAAGACCAAAATTATCGTTAACGACCAAATTACCGAATCAATTCCACAATTATAAATTAATCGATAACAAGTTTCTTATTATGTGATGTATTTGTATTTTTTTTAACGTTCAACGCTAGTTTGTTTAGTGATAGATTTAATTTTTTTAACTTTCAATCGGAATTTTGAACTTTTAATGCAGTGAATCATGCCTATGTTTTGGTATTCGGGCTGAAAGGTTGACGGTCTAAACAAAAGAGAAAAAAAGCATATAACAAGCGATGGTTATCCACTATCTGCCGGAGTTGAACTATAAATTTTTAATAAACAAACAAAACAAGACTAAAAATTTGCTCTCAAGGAATAAACAAAAGAGAGAAAAACTATATAAGTAAAATAAAATAACTATGTAAACAATACCTATGTGTATTTACATACACTTATGCACATAATAACCAGGGTGTCTTTTATATGTACAATAAGCATTTAATAATTGAAATAAAACTAGTTCTTTTCTGTAGTTCCAGGCTTCCATCGCGAAATTTACTAAATTTAAGCACTCAGGGCTATTTAACAAAGAGATTAGGTGCTCTCTTGTCAACGTGGGCAAGCCTATATGCAGTACTCGGAATTCCGCTAAACTGGGCATTCTGCTAAAAACTGAAAACCATCTTCTCGTTCCTGCCTGTTGCAGAGGGAGCACTTGTCAGAACTGTTGACTCTTGTGTGATTATAATTGAGGCAAATTAACTTTTTGCTATGTTCAAAAGAAAGATTGATTGATATTAAGATCCTTATATAGCAAAAACCTAGATTAATTTTGACCATAAAGGAGACATTTCTATAGATTTATCAGTGTTCTCAGGGGTGGAGAACCAGAAATTTGGTCATTACGGATCATTTTGGTCTGCCTATCATCGTTGTCTTGCCAGACGCGTTTTACCATTTAGTCATCATCAGTGATCGTCTAGTGCGTTTTATGTTGAACCGGGACATTTTATACGTTCGACACACCAGGCAGTCTGAGTCAGCAAATGGTCGTTAATGACCAAATTACCGAATCAACGTCCACAATTATAAATTAATCGATAACAAGTTTCTTATTATGTGATATATTTTGTATTGTTTTTTCAATTGGAATTTTAGATTTTTGATGCAGTGTGTCAAAATTATGCCTGTTTTTGGTATTCAGGCTGAGGTTGGCGGTCCTCTAAATCCACCTGCCAAGAATGTTCAGGAAGGTCAAATTAAAAAACAGACGGTCTAACGCTATTTCAAAACGTCAAAAAAAAGGAGCCCCGCCGATAAGAGATTCTTCTCGAGAAGTATAAAATCGTAGAAAGAAGAGTAAAATGTGAAAATCTACTCACGCAATGAAAAGCTGGATATAAAATTCCGTAGTCGAAATAGTCACACATGATAGCTCCATCGCTCAAGTACATTTTCATCCTGCCCGAAACACAATACGACAGACACGTCGGACTGAAATGTGCCGACTTTCCTTTGCTAAGAAACGTCTTTTTTCCGTTTTAACACGAGCGAACGGGATTTCTGCCTGCTAAGCATTTAAAAGTAGCCGTCGGACCCGTGGCTAACTACAACTGGCCGGAATCGGAGCGGAATTTCCGAGGATTTCGTACTATTCGCGAACCCCTTTTCGCCCGAACTTGGCTATGTGAACTCTTGAGAGAAAGGTACGATGGACGATCTCAAGGTGGGGGAGGTCCACTTTCTAAAGTTCTCCACCTTAATTGTCTAATAAATCACTTCCTTGGCCCACGGGGAGTTAGCGAAATCAAATGAACAGTTATTAAATTCCTTCGTATCCGATAAAAAAAAAAGATGTGAGGAAACAAAGGAATTTCGACATACACTATTGTACATCCGACTGGAGTCAAAAGCGCCCAAGGTTTCCGTTTTGTAATCACTTTTTCAACAAAGACAGAGAAATTAATTAACATATCAAAACATTTACGTTTTAACGAGATTGTAAAAGTATGCAACAAACATGGGTCTTCATAATCTGCTTAAACAAAATAATAATTAGGCTGGTATGGAAAACCAGACACCAGCGCGCAGAGGGGTTTCAAGTGAAGAAAAAAAATTTTTTCAAAGAATTTTAAGATAGTTCCTACACACAGTAAGTGATCATACTTACTGTGAGTAGGAACTACCTTTTTAAACAGGATTGAACACCGCACTCACTCCACCATTCATCATTTCTATTTTGAAAGATTGTTCTTAAATTTTATTGTAGTATACATGCCAAAGTTTCCTGCTACATTTTTTTTGGCAATGTCATTCACAGGATAATAAAAACAGCAGCCATAGTTGATATGATAGTGAGCTATAACGACATAGATTTTTTACGTTAAATTAACCTTTTGCAATTTCAAATTGACTAAATAAACGGACAAATTTTTAATTTAAAATAACCCTTTTAAAAATTAGATATGCCATTTTTATTTTCAAATTAACCCTTTTAAACATCAGATTTACCATTTTTAATTTCAAATTTGTCCTTTTTAATTTTAAATTAACCCTCTTTAACTTAAACTTTTTTAACCATTTTTAATTTTAAATAAAACCCTTCATAAGAATGATTGGGGTCTTATTACGCCTTATAAAAATTAATTATAATTAAAATTAAACACAAAAACAAATGATTTTTCTAATAAATGAGATATTTTGAAATATAAAATAATTATTTTAAAGAACCATTATTATTTTATATTTTAAAAATTTGGAATTAATACAAGAACCAATTATTTGTTTTTATGTTTAATTTGGTATAACTTTTGTTTGTCGTTGTGATTAATTTTTATGTGGTGTTTTATATTTTGTAATAGTTCTTCAATTTAAAAAAAAATCCTTCATTTTTATATTTAATTTTGTCGAACTTTTAATCTTAATTGTACCTAATTTTCATGTGGTATTTTACATAGAACCTACATTATTACTTTACAGAAAAGGTTAATTTGAAATTAAAAAGGGTTAATTTGGAAACAAAAACGGTTAATCATAAGTTTAAAAGGGTTAATTTGAAGGTAAAAACAGTCAATTTGAAATAAAAATTGTTCATTTGGAGTTTAAAAGAGTTACGATATGAAAATAACAAAGTTCGATTTGAAATTAACAAAGATTAATTTGAAATTAAAAAAGGTTAATTTGAAATTAACAAAGGTTTATATGAAATTAACAAAGGTTAATATAAAAGTAAAAAGGGTTAATTTGAAATTAACAAAGGTTAATATCAAATTAAAAAGGGTAAATTTGAAATTAAAAAGGGTTAATTTGAAATTAACAAAGGTTAATATCAAATTAAAAAGGGTAAATTTGAAATTAACGAAGGTTTATATGAAATTAACAAAGGTTAATATCAAATTAAAAAGGGTTAATTTGAAATTAACAAAGGTTAATATCAAATTAAAAAGGGTAAATTTGAAAAAGGTTTATATGAAATTAACAAAGGTTAATATAAAATTAAAAAGGGTTAATTTGAAATTAAAGAAGGTTTATATGAAATTAACAAAGGTTAATATCAAATTAAAAAGGGTACATTTGAAATTAACGAAGGTTGTTAATTAGTTCCCTACAGTACTTTTGACAGGGCTCTTCTGCCTGATAAGAATAAACACTGCTAAAAGCCTTTTCGGAATAGAGATAAGCTCAGAAGTACTAAGCGGTACCAACTCTCTGACTGGGCGCAGGCAATCAATAATCTTGCAAGATTTGAAATGAAAATATGAAAATTTTTGAGAGGACGAGACAGATCAAGGCAAGTTTATTTGTCAAAAAAGGTTATCATAAATGAATGTGTACGCAAAAGAAATGAATATCAGACTGTGGTGCTACATGCCTCAGAAGAAGAAAATGTTTTGGAATGAACAAACCATGGCAAATAATAAAATTTGTAGATGAATTAGGACTGGTAAATTGTATGTAAAGAACAGTCTATGTAATTTCATGAGAGATGCTATAGAATAGCCTCTGAATTTTTTCTTCCACATAAAATCCTCTATAATCAATGTAATTTTTCTTGGTTATTTGTACAAAATGAGCATCATAATCTGCCTAATTTTGTTTGATATCATATGTGATTTAATCCATACTTGAAACTCTCTAAAAATCAATAAAAATAACATTCATCACAGTCCATAGTACTCATTTAACACCTAGATTTTATTAAATTTCACCCCACTTGTCTGCAAGTAAGATGTTTATTATTAATTTTTCAATAAGGCTCCCACTATGATACTAGTTAGAAAGTGCCCAGACACTTGCAATTGTGGAAATAGGCACATCAGAGACGAACCAACATCTAATAACCGTATATTGATGGGTCATCACATAAAAAAATGTCAAAAGCAACAAAAGTTAAATTGTTGAAATTATTTTATTTTTAATTACTGAGTTGTTAGTTCTAAGCAGTGTTAATTACTTATAATTTCTTTTAAAAATAATGTTTAAACTCTTTTAAAAAGTCATTCTCCCATTAATTATGAATAAAATATAAAGTAATGATGTACTTACAAGAGTGTGAGCTACGACAGATCTTTCAAAGCAGTCCAAGTTGAATGAACGGAGATCTTGAAGGCTGCCTGAATGGGGATGCAGGCTTCTTGATATCGTGTTATCCATAGTTGTTTCTTTTAAGTCTTCAAGACTTTGTGATGTAGGTGGTGATATGCTGTACATTTTATGATTCAGTTTATAAGGAAGACCACTAATAGCGTCGTGGCTTCGTGCTGAGCTGATGCTCATATCATCAACTGACTGAGCGCTTGCTTCCATCCTCGAATTTTGCTTACTTTTTTGTATAATTGTCACTTCAGGGCTTTTTGTCGTTTCAGAACTGACACTCATGTCTTCAAGAAAACCAGGTCTTTCTGGGCCCTCTGATCCTGTGCTCAAGGGAGACCGACTCCTACTGCTGGTCGCAGTGACGTTGGGTAAAGTGTGGACCGTTACTTTGTCAGCACAGTTTCCACCTTTGTCGACTTCCTGTATGTGTAGCCTATGATTCTGTACATCTACAACTAGAATACGATCTGACTGGTTACCGCAGTCATCGCGAAAGCCAATTCCTGAATCACTGTTGCTAGTAGTTGTTGTACTGTCGTTACTCGGCTGGGGTGAATTTGCCACGACAGGCTCTTCAACACTGGCACTTGTTTCGTAAAATCCTTTGATGACGGCAATAATCGGGTCGCATGTGACTGGAAACTCTGTACAAATTCCAGAACCGGGATCCACTTTACATTCTAATTTAAAAATTTTGGCACGTTTGAAATGGTTCGAATGTGGCCGTGCGTCGACGGCAAAAATATGGCAAGAACTTGACGGATCTTCTCCCGTTGCAGTGGTCACAACTCCAAAATGTTTACGGTCTTTATCTGAACTCGCTCCACAAAATGTAACCCTATCACCTGGATAAACAGCTAACGTGATTCCGGCACCATTTGTGAGTCTTAAACTATGCGTCATAACAGTCATCAACACTGGCGTATGCGGACGTTTTTCTGCTCGAAGCTTTTTAATACATCCTCGAACAATCTGGAACATTATGCATTATTTATAGTATTTAGTGACCATTAATTAATGATTATAATTAAATTTGGGGGAGTGAAACTGACCAGACCTCTATGTTTCTATCGAGTGTTGTGTTTGTGTTAATTTATCGGAATGAATGTAATTTATTAGCGTGAAAGGAAGGGGCTGTTTATAACCCCGCCCCGAGGAATATCAAGTACTCTGGGGTGAGTATATGACGTCTGGAGAGTAAAAGTAATTTATTAGCGTGAAAGGAAGGGGTTGCTTTCCCCGCCCCGAGGAATATCGAGTACTCTGGGGGAATGAGTGTGACCAGACATTTATGTTTGTGGTGATGTATATATATGTATTGTATGTTTTGTTTTTATTCTGTATTTGACAACCTGAGGTACAAACGAGAGACTAGCATTCTAGAATATCAACGTAGTATATATCTGAAATCAGAGAGTCAGTAACCAGATCGAGATGCTCAAATGGCTGCAGTTTAAAACAAAATATGCGCGAAAGAAAAGAAAAAGATGGAAAACACGTAGAGGGCCGGCGATGACCTCAGCTGTTTGTTGGCCCATAAACTTCCCACTTATTATTATAATTAAATTCATAGATGATACATATATAAATTATGATTTTCACAAATTGTTGGCTTTTTGTTTTTGCCTGCAAATGACTATGCAACTGATCTTTTCTTCAACATTATCAGTAAAACACCATTATCAGTAAAATTGGAAAAAAAATTGAAGTTGCTTTTGTGAATGATAAAGCTTTCACAGCCATCATACAAATTTGGCATGATTGCTACAAAAATAAATGAATCACTAAGCAAATGAAAGAAAAAAGAACTTATTATCACCACATAGTTTACTAAAAATTACACCAAACAAAAAGTCACAGGAAAAATTGTAGAGGCTAAATGCATTTAATAATCCAATAGTAAATAAATGTAATATTACTAAACTTAATTGTTGCAGAAAAAAGTGTGGGGATAAAAACAATATTGAAATATACCTGCAATCGAGATCCTGGTGGAAGTTTTCTCGGCATCTCGATCGTCCCAACATATCCAACCACAGCACGAAATACATGTTGTTCGACTTGATTTGGCGCTTCCAGGTCGGCGGAATTAGGAATTCGGAACCTGGAAACCGGAGGCGGGATGTGATTGCCTAGTTTCCATTCATCCGGGATGTGTTTCTTGCTTCTTGGTGGCGAGAACGGATAGGGTAGAGAAAGATGTTCTTCATACGCCCCACCCGAACGTAGGTCCCTAACCACTTTGCCCAGCCTGTTATGCAGAGTGGCATCGTTCCTGCCATTCAGACGGTATTTGTGTGGATATTTCGGCTTCTGCCTAGCTGCCACCAGTATATCGTCATCCGAACTGTCTGAGTAATAATTCTCGGCGATTTGCAGTTTCAAAACACCATTTGAACATCCGATTAATCTCACAACGTCGTCGTGCGGCACTTTGCTGACGCTCTGTCCTTCGACTGCAACGAGGTAGTCACCAGCTCGAAGGCCGGCATTTTCGGCAGGGCTTCCAGCGACAATGCAGCTCAGAATGCAAGGGTGTTGACCTGATATTGTGAAACCAAAACCATTTTGGCCCCGTTTCACTTCAACAGTGCGTACACCATAGTTTGGCCTCTTTTTCCTTCTCCTCACTGGATGCATTGTTCAACACCATGCAATATTTCTAAAAAATAATAAATAATTAATACAATAATAATAATTCACTATTTTTCGTGGTCCGCTTGACCAATTAATATCATTCAATTAATTAAAGTTTTAAGTTGAGATAAAAAAGTCACTGCTTGAAAAATGGCAAAAAGGAGGGAAAATTCAAAATGTGTGGTCGAGATGGAAAGTTAGTGCCCAAGGAGATCAAGGTCACAATAGCTCAAGTGGTAGAGTAGCGGCGTATCAAGCCGAAGGTCGTGGGCTCGAATCCTGCTCGTGACACTGACTTTTTTTATCTCAACTTAAAACCTTAATTAATTGATAATAATAATTTTACTTTTTACTCAAACTTATTTTTAGGAATAAAAAGACAAATGAACCATGCTACCACGAATGATCTGTATTATACACTGAAAGATGGCCAAAATGCCAAAACATAATTAGAAATTATGAAGCACAGGTTCACCTTATCTCACTAAAAAATTTGCAATAGAAATATGCCACAATTAAATTTTGTTAATTGATCTGTAAGTTGAACAAAATTTAACAGCAGTCCTGTAACTATTTTTATTTATAATTTATATAATTATTGTTTTGTGGTCGTTACCGACATTCGTGGAAATGCTATCCTTGTTATGCTGGTCTGTCACTGACCAAGATGATCAGTAATGATCTGGTGGGATTCTACTCACAAATATACGAGTGATAGGCTCATGTACAGTTCATAAACCAATTTGAAGCTGTATTTCAATCGCTTCTGATTATTCTAGACCACCTATCATCGCTTTTTAGATTGTCAGACACATTTTGGAATAAAGTTTAAGATTGTGTTGTGAACTGTTCATGAGTCAAATCGTTTTGTGATCGACAAAGGTCGATCACACTCATCTGAAGATGATTCTTACTTGACTAGACATAAAACAATGATCAGAGTTGATGAAACTGCTAACAAATGTACAACTGGCAGACTCATCGACAAAATATCCCAACACAATTTGAAGCTGAATTTTGAGCGCTTCTAATCATTTTAGTCTGCCACCCTCGCTGTTTTGATCTGTCAGACACATTTGGGCAGATTCTGTTGTGAACTGCACATGAGACAAAATCATTTTGTGATCAACACAGGTCGATCATACTCTTCTGAAGATGATTCTTACTCAACTAGACATAAGACAATGATCAGCATTGATGAAACTGATAACAAATGTACAACTGGCAGACTCATCGACAAAATATCCCAACACAATTTGAAGCTGAATTTTGAGCGCTTCTAATCATTTTAGTCTGCCACCCTCGCTGTTTTGATCTGTCAGACACATTTGGGCAGATTCTGTTGTGAACTGCACATGAGACAAAATCATTTTGTGATCAACACAGGTCGATCATACTCTTCTGAAGATGATTCTTACTCAACTAGACATAAGACAATGATCAGCATTGATGAAACTGATAACAAATGTACAACTGGCATACTCATGGGCAAAATATCTCAACCCAATTTGAAGCTTCGTAACCTCGCTGTTTTGATCTGCCATTACACATTTTGGCACAAAGTTAACAATTGGGTTGTGAAATGTTCATGAGTCAAATTGTTTTGATCAACCCAGGTCAATCGCACTCATCTTCTGAAGATGATTCTTACTCTACTAGACTTAAGACAATGATCAGGGATGAATAACCTACCAGCAACTACACAACTGGTTTACCATGAACAAAAAATCCCAACCCGATTTGCAGCTATATTTCAATCGCTTCTGATTATTTTAGTCCACCTATCCAAGTTAACGTTATGAAACGTTCATGAGTCTGCCAGTTGCACTGTCACGAGTTTTATCATCCCTGATCGCTCTGTTGGTGTGAATGAGTCTGTGGTGATATTTACTTTTATGAAAATCCTAAAATACCTTTAACACGATCTAAGTTGCGATGTTAGTTTAAAGAAAAAAAATTGTTTTCACTCAACTGCCTCTAATGTCAACTGAGATTCAGCCTGACAAAACGTATATTTTTATGTTTGCCTTAAATGCAAAGGGACTTTTATACTTCCGATTGAGTCTCCTCAACGTCAGGATGACATTATTATGAAATAAAATTATGATATACTAACGGAGTCGGGTTTTTGGGTGGCAACTGGGTGCTGGTCGGATGATGGAATGTCATTAGCTGTCACTACCTCGCAGTCATAGCTCGACGGAAAACTAGTTTTCAACACGAAATCAATGTGTAACTTTGCTCCGGACGTGGACTAAGTTAAGAAAAGGGTCGTTTTGTTTGAAAAAAAGTGAAAAAAAAAGGGTTGATTCGTTGTGTTTACATCTAGGTTCGACTTTGATATTGAAAATTGGACGGTTATTCGTCCGGGGGAGGATGTAGTTTTCCTTGAAATGTGGTCGTTTTCCACTGTAAAAACGTTGGACAATAAATACTACTCACTTCCGAGTGGGGACTTGAGTTGAGACTCAGTCAAAACAACTTTCACCCCGAGGCGGAGAGGCCGTTTCGTCGAAGAGGAAAACGCTTTCCCCGGTTTCCGGCCGAGTCGGAAAATCTGGAAATCATGGAAAATCCCGTCTGGAAATATATAGAAGACGAGAAACGGCCCTCGGAATCACGCCCAGTCGGATAAACAGCCTCCAGGGAAACGCGAACAATCCGAAATCCAGACACAATCAGGTTAACGTACGACATTCCTTCCCTGTTCACTCGATCGCCCTCGATTCGGCCTTTCCACCGATCATCGGAAAACCGCCGACAAACGGAAAAACTTTTTCCGTCAAAAAGAAAATCCTTATTAATTATTTAATGCCGTTATTTGACATTTCCCTACTTTTTGGAAACTATCGTTTCCGACTGGCATTGTCGTTTCCTCAATGACGTCACGAAATGATAGATGAACTGAAAGCCAATTTTTTATTTATTTATTTATACACTAGGCAAACAAAGTCTGTAAACATCTAAATTTTACAATTACCCTTCTTTGTCTAAAAATGTTATTTTCCACAATGAACTACTTTTATTTTAACAAAATATGACATTAATGCATAACAACAATAGTGGTGGTTAGGAATATTAATTTTATTTATTATCATACTACAGAAAGTTGAGAATTTGTTCTTACAAATGAAATTCAATATAATTTATAAGTTGGTTTCCACCCTATTTTTTAAAATTTATTTATTACATAGATGTCTGGGACACCTGAACAGAAAGAGTATAACTATGTTACAAGACATGACCCATGGTATTGATAAACTCACCGTATGCGATGATCCGGGTGAGGTATGTACAGAAAAGGAGGATGTCAGATTATCATTCAAAAGAAGTAAATGTAGAGCACAGAAACCCTTTAGAGCTAGTGCATACCGACCTATGCGGCCCAATCAGAGTTGGGCAAAATCTAACTAATTCAAACACGATTAAGAATTTTGATTCAAGTTTAATCATGATTGAATTAGTCATGAGTAAACTAATCATTATGTGATTTAGTCATAATTAATTCAATCATGAGGTATGACTAAATCATACAATGATTAATTTACCCATGACTAATTCAATCATGAATAAACTTCAATCAAAATTCTTAATCATGATTGAAGTAGTTAGATTTTGCCCAACTCTGGCTACAATGACCAACTTACCAAAATCCAACAGACTCTGGATAAAAATTTTGAGATGAGAGTCGTGCTCAANTTGATGCCCCATGTTTTACCAACAATTCTCCTACATTGTACCATTGATATGGTGCCTTTCCTGTATATGTTATTAATATGACCTTTCCAATCAAGTTTCCTGTCAAGTGTCACACGAAGGAATTTGATGGAATCCACTAACTTTAATTTAGGGTTTTTAAAATTACCTAATGTTCTTCTCCTGCTAAACACTATCAATTCTAGTTTAGCAGGATTAATTGATAAACCTCTGTCACAACACCACCTATAAAGCAATACCATGGCGTTTTCCATCAGTAGTGAAAGAGTCAAGGGATCCCTACCTGTGGTGAGGGGTTATAACCATTTTACAATATTTTTCCAAATTATTATTAATTAAAATTCCAAGAGCTATGTCGAGATTCCAACCCAGAACTGCTAGCAAGAGTTGACCACCGCATTCTCCCATTTTTAAAAAATAATACCAAGGTCAAATGATTATAAACTGATTATAAATCAAAATTAGGTAGGTGTTTTAATATTTAAAGACCAGGATTGCTTTAGAATTTAATCTATTTAGAATAACACTATTGCTATTGTGTAGATGATTCATATGGCTGAAATACAAACTGTCGACTGTGAGAAAGACTATTAATTTTAAAAACTATTCAAAATATTTTATCTTTTGTTTATCAAATGTTCATTTCTATGATTCATCTATCATTCTCACACCTTGACCAGGCTTCTAGGATGTAAAATAGCTTAGTATCAAAGTAGATGGATAAGTCTAAAAGTTGAGAGATGAAAGAAACAAATTCTCCCATGTTCAGGTTTGTTTTTATATATATTTATTTAAATTTTCCTAATAAAGCATGTCGAAATGTTTATCTTGTTGAGCTTTAAATCGTTCCACTGATCGCTAATAGCAAGATAATAAATTTTTAAAGATATTCTATACGACAGTAATCCTGTAACATTTATATTATTGTTTAATAGTTACACATTTTAATAACAATAATCTTGATACTATTGTACATTAAGAAATTATGCTTTTTTTTATTTTCCATGAAATTAGATAGTAATTACTAATAAGCAATGCACAAAATGAAGAAAAGGCTGCTCTTAATAAAAGAGAGTCGTTTATTTGCTAGGTTTGTACTGGTATCAAAGCCTGGCAATTAAATGATTTTCTTTTAATGAGAAACTGATATTCAACTTTATTATTGAATATGTAAGTAATAGTGCAATTTAATTTTTTCGAATAAAAGACTTTTCAAAATGGTGATAGGTGCAATTAGATTTAAAAAATTAAACATTTTTGATTTTATATGTAACATTAATAAAACATTTTGTGCAAGGGTCATGCTTTTTGTATTGCACTAATTTTAATACATGTATTGCTGAAGCAAATATAAAACTATCTTATAGAAATCTCAAGCTTACTTAAGTACTTTCAATTAAAAAGGAATTGCCTGATAAAAATGATTTTGAAAGATATGTTTGATGTAATACTTGACAACAACTCTTGGCGTAACAATTCATTAATATGATAATGTTATACTTCTTTCTATTAATATTCATTACAAAAATTACCCTGTCAATCTTAAAAAATAAGACAATTGCTCTTTTGGATAGTCTAAGCAGCCACATCAAGAATAAATGCTGAGATTTCTCTATGTGGTCTACACAGCGATGATTCTGAAATTCGGTAGGTCTCAGTTTTCTGACAGATGTCAGATGAATTTCGGCATTTCGGTATTTTTAGTGTTGTGGGCATGCGTTCATTCCTTGGCTCCATGTAAGGAGTGTGTAGGAAGACCACTCGATATGAGAATCGTGCTTGAGCACAGCAGCGAGTATCTGGGTCCCCTCTTCCGATTCTTGGAGGAAACAGGGTTATTTACTACATATAGCAATGATAGTTCATAATGGTAGTACCTAGAATGCGTTGAGAATGAATGTATTTATTAGGGTGAATGTGCAGTGTGAGAGGGCCGATGGCGGAATATTGAGTATCCCTTTGACCCTCAGTTAGGTTAGTTATATAATAGGTGTAAAGGGTAATGGAGGAATATTGAGTACTCCACCACTCTATTTGAATGAATGGTATGTAAATAGGAAAGAATGTATTTAAGAATGAGTGAGACCGTAATGGGTTGGATTTAAGAAACTACTTGTGTTTGGTGCTAAATTGACCTAGCTGTTGGTAGCCCCTGGCACCCAACCTCGACAGCTGGGACGATAAGGCCGAGTCCGACACCGGACTCCAACATCCGTGATGGGTGATTTTTGAGGCCTAATCTGTGCACGACATCAAGAGTCTGTGAGGCTTGCTCTACCATCAATTAGTGAGTAAATTAATCATTATGTGATTTAGTCATGATTAATTCAATCATGAGGTATGACTAAATCATACAATGATTAATTTACCCATGACTAGTTCAGTCATGATTAAACTTCAATCAAAATTCTTAATCATGATTAAAGTAGTTAGATTTTGCCCAACTCTGGCTACAATGACCAACTTACCAAAATCCAACAGACTCTGGATAAAAATTTTGAGATGAGAGTCGTGCTCAAGGCCAACATTCAAAAAGTGTTATCATAAACAAAAACCAAAGTTACATAATTATTCTACATGTTTATTTTATTACATTCAAGACACCTAGATGGTGTATTTTCCAAATAATGTAGAAATCTCTCCTTTCAAGTGGAATAAATTTTAATTCAAAGAGATACTTTTTCCATTAATCGGTTATGTAAACATTTACTTTTCAAAGCGTAGCTTGTTCTAAGATTTATTTTATTTTATTATTATTATCATTATTTTTTGGATTTTCATAACAACGTAGTTTTACTTATAATTGGAAGATTGATTTTGTTAAATAAGGTGTTGAAGGATTTTCGTTTTGACGAAATAAATTTCTGTTAGAAAATTTTTTAAAAGTGATGAAGTTGTATATTTTTCATTTTTTGAGCACCCATTTGAACATGATTTATCAAAATTTAGTCATGACTAACTATATTGTGACTAAATTAGTCATGCCTCATATTTAATTACTAATCATGAATTGGTTCAACCCGCTGAATAAAATTTTGATCTTACCTTATTGGATTTGGATTTGGATTTATGTATGCTCAAATCCACATACGTATGTACATACATAGAATCATGTGCCGAGTTTAGCCTATTTGATTCTCCTAGTAATTTTACTTTATCGCCAGTTTTTTCTTATTCTCATTTCAGAATTTGGGTGATTTGCGGTAGTTTTTTAAAATGAGGTGTGAGCTAATATGATTAAATTACACCTCTTGGATGACTTTTTGTATAATGCTATGGTCAGAGAGGATTTCATTCTTTGCTGAATGCTCTATGTTGGAAGAAATTTGTCTGCTCCACCTAAGCAACATTTTCCTTTTCTAGAAGTGTATCAATTATTAAGCTAAACTCTCTAACTAATCCCACTTATAAAATATTATACAGGGTGAGTCATTTTTTGACGCACCATTGGAAAATCAACGTGGGTGCGTTTAAATCTGACTCGAGGCTTATTTCCTTTGATTAATATGTTAATAAAAGAAAGTGAGCCAATTTTCAGTGCACCATAGGAATATCAACGTTGGTGCGTCTAATTATGACTCGGCACATTTTATTTTGTTAGTCTCGTACCAAAAAATAGGCGAGTCACTTTTCGACACACCATTCGTTAAAAATTAGTTTTAATAGGTTGGAAGGAAAATAAACGAAACCAATATTATTAAAACATTCAAACACAATGTAAAAATTAAAAAAAAAAATTCTTCACACATTAATTTGATTAAGGTTTAAGAGTGTTTTTTCGTCCAATCATCGTTTTACGATAGACTAGGCTATTGTGTTGCAGCAAATGGAGGTATGTTCGAACAATTATTATAATGATTTTGAACATTTTTGGTTTGCTAACAAAGGAGATTGTTACATTTATTTAATTTTTTTACTTTACCAGAAAAAAATATTCTTAAACCCTAATCAAATTAATTTGTGAAGAATTTTTTTTTAAATTTTTACATTGTGTTTGAATAATGTTTTCATAATATTGGTTTCGTTTATTTTCCTTCCAACCTACTAAAACGAATTTGTAACGAATGGTGCGTCAAAAAGTGACTCGCCTATTTTTTGGTACGAGACTAACAAAATAAAATGTGCCGAGTCATAAGTAGACGCACCAACGTTGATTTTTCTATGGTGCACCGAAAATAGACTCACTTCCTTTTTTTAATGTTAAAATCAAAAGAAATAGGCCTTGTGTCAGATTTAAACGCACCCACGTTGATTTTCCAATGGTGCGTCAAAAAATGACACCCTGTAGACATGGCAATACAGGTTTGTTACAACAAAAATACCATATTATTTCAATTTTTGGCTTTACTTTTTATGTTCTAAGTTCTTTACTTTAATTTTCTTTTTTATTAAGGTTTCATTGACGAATTCATTGACCTTTGCAGACAAAATTTTCTGAGTTCTGTGCTTAAATTGAAGAGTTATCCTTTTATTTGCATTGTGACAAATAAAGCATTATTATTATTATTTTGTATATTAACATTGTATATTAACAGATTATTTGTCATTAATTATTAATATTTCAATCTTTTACGTTTGAGGTTTATTGTTTAGAAGTTGACAAGAAATCTTGATTTAATTTTTTAAGTTTAAATATTGTATTGTACTGTAACTTGCATTGTTTCAAAATCATTAGAGTAAGCATTTAGTTTAACTTTTAAATTATTAATGATTATGTTAACCCTTGTTATATTGGGATTTCACTGAAATATTTGACATGGCTTTTCAGAACTGCGTCTCCATATATTTTCTTTGATAACCACCAAGCATTTTGCAAGCCAAATGACGATTACTACATCGAGTGAGTAACATGCCTTACATATATTTTGTATGCTGAAAAATGGATGGCTGCTTCAAAATATATTAATTTAATTTTTTTAAACAATTGGTTGTATCTGCTCTACATAAAAAAGAAACCAAGACCTTTCAAAAGAAACAATTCTTTTTAATAATGAAACAATTAAAAACAAAGTTAATATTTTAAACAGCCATATTTATTTAACATCTGTGTTCGCTAATATTTTTTATTTTTATTTTTTTAACACCTTCTCTCCACTGTACATAGGCCTATCCACCCAGAGGAACCATACCCCATAAATTGGTGGGGGGATATATATTGTGGGACCCCATATATTGTGCTTGGGGCGTGGGGTGATTGAATTTTGAAATTTGAAAAGGTGAGCCTTGCGTTCTTGGGCACTCCCTTTCCCAATCCTGGTCCTCCTGTATTTTTCCTTAAAAAAAAAAGAAAAAGAAAAAAAAAGTGCAGCATTGAGAGCATTGCAAACTCTATAAAGCAAAAGCGGACGGCGCACTGTGGGTGTGCAATTAGTAACACAGATGGGTCAGGGTAGCAGATCCTGTCTTCAAAGGCTGGGGAGAGTGCTTGACCAACTGAACTGTAGGCATAGTTCAATACTTTTGTGGTCCGCTTGACCAATTAATACATGACAATTAATTAAGTCTTTTAGTTGAGATGCAAAAAAGTTAATGGCACGAGTGGGATTCGAACCCACGATCTTCGGCTTGATACGCCGCTGCTCTACCACTTGAGCTATCGTGACCTCGATCCACTCGGACATCAACTTCCTACCTCAACCCCACCTTATGAGTTTTCTCTCCTTTTGCCATTTTTCATCTCAACTAAAAGCCTTAATTAATTGTCATGTATTAATTGGTCAAGCAGACCACGAAAGTAGTGAATTAATGATTTAAAAAATGAAGTACACTTCACCAAAGCTCTCCATCGCCATTTCAATTGTCGTCAAGAATCAAAACCGATTACACGACATTTGAAAAATGGCAAAAAGGAGGGAAAATTCATAAGGTGGGGTTGAGATAGAAAGTTGATGTCCGAGTGGATCGAGGTCACGATAGCTCAAGTGGTAGAGCAGCGGCGTATCTAGCCGAAGATCGTGGGTTCGAATCCCGCTCGTGCCATTAACTTTTTTGCATCTCAACTAAAAGCCTTAATTAATTGTCATGTAGGCATAGTGAAAAGTTACATGCCCACCAGTGCGCTACATGGGTAAAGGATTCAGTGGCTTAGTGGTGAGACCGTGGAGGGTACTTAGAGTGAGCCTGTTGGTTCGGTGGTGCAGTTATCAGCTTCCTCTACCGAAGACAGAATTCCTCTGATGGGAATGATTAGCAATTCCACATGAAACAAAACTGTGGCTAGAGGGGCTCCTCCTTGGTTCCTCGATGCCTCTTAGTGCATTTATCACTTCCATAGGTGTAAGAATTGCCATACTAAAGTGTGATACTGTATGCCGGCTATTGCCTCATATTCACAACCAATGACTCTTATTTTACTTGACAGAGCTGGCATGTTTCTATGCTTTGCTAATTTTCTTTAGATGATAGTTAAAAGGGTTTTCACCTTCCATTTGGAAAGAGGAGTGTTTTTCTTTCTCAAATCATATTTCCAACTCTATCTTTAGCACACTCTCTGGTGTGTGTAGTTGTGGCGGTCTTACGGATGTGAAGCCAAATTTTCTAACCCTTCTTTGGCAGCATTATGTCTATTCATCACTTTATTATAATTTATTTTGTGTTGTAATGGGATGATAAAATACCTAGGTTACCTAAAGTTAAGTTATCACTTGTGTAGTATTAGAATAATAATATAAGTTTCTTATATTTTTAAAAAATCAAAACTGGCACAAAGAAAATAAGAGAAAAAGATACTAATCAGTTTTAACTTAATACACTTTGGATATTTGTGAAAAAAGATTTGCGTTGTCTTTCAGGTCACCGCCACTGTATGACCAATCTGATAATCCTCCACTTAACAATTTTGTGGATAATGATGGGTAAGTAATCTATACTTATTTATAGAATAGATCGAGATGGAGTATTAAATGTCACTCTGCTTCACTTTTTTGTGTAACTTTTGCTTCAATTAAATTTATGCAGGTGACTCCTTCCCACCTCCTTACTTACAAGCTGCAATTGTAAAATTTCAAACTCTCTTAGCACCTGGGATGTTGAAAATGGGCACAACGTGAACTTAGAAAAGTCCCAGGCTATTTGCATTTATATCCTGTTCCTTCTTATGTATGTCAGTTTACAATTTCCTATCAGCCTATTTCCTCTGTCCCACTATCCAGAACCTTGGGATCATCCTTGATCAGATCGTCCTGGAAAATATCTCCTGATGCTACTTTCAACACTCCATCAGTTCTGTTGTGCCAGCCAACTAGAAAGACTAGAGTCTTACCGAAGTAGTGTTGTATGCAAGTATTTTGTAGAAGCCCTATATGGTTGTATCTGAAGTCCTGATGTTTTTTTATTATTCAGTTATTAAAAACTATTAAAACAGTCTAGTGGTTACTTTATTCTCACATGTATATATTTTTATATAGCTTTATCAGGCTTGAATCTTTTGTAAATATGTTATGTTCATAATTAATTATTCAACAGGACTTTAAATCCCAGAATAAAATTGATTTGTCATTTAATTTAAAAATGAATTATAAAAAAAGTACAAGGAGTCAAGGAGAATTTATTTTGTTAGAATTTTCAGCTATGAACATATACTTTATTAACAGGGCATTCTTTTTTGGATTAACAAACTTTGTACACACACATTTTTTTTCTTTAGAAAATATTATGTCGATTTGGCAAATTTGGAGAAGAATTACACAATCTGGACTAAATATATGGGGAGGGGAGTGAAAAATTTTGGAAAAAGGAAGATAAATAACTCTCCCATTCCTATGGCAGGCAAATTTGAAAAATCAAGCTTAAACATGCATATAAACGATCTGGAAAAACATTTGTTAATCAATGGAGAAGAAGTAGATAAATCTAGTTCAAATGTGTCATTTCAAAGTAAGAGAACAAATCTTTTGTTAACTACTTCATACAACATAATACAGACAATATTTTATGTACAATGCCAATTGTTTTGTTAGATGAACTAATACCAATTATAATAATACCAGCAAAGAACAGTGCGATCATTCCCAAAGAAGTGAAAATCGAAGAAGCCATGCCCTGCTCTGAATGTGCTTGCTCTGTGGTTGGAAGAAAACTAAAAAGATCGTGCGTATCCATTATACATAACATTTTACTCCTCAAATAATTATTTATTGCATCTCTTTAGGTCCCTTTTTCGTTTAATCATACAAAGTGAAGAAAACTTGCAGTTAGGCTGGAAACTACCTCTAACCGAAGTGAGCAGAATGGTGTTTGAGTTGTCATCACTTTAATCACAATCAAAAATAAATACAATAAATTTGTACTATATTTTTTGTTTATTCCTAATATCAGTATGACATGTTAATGTAAATTTATTAAAATTAACTTTTATCAAACAAAAATCAGAGCTTTTCTTTTTGAGTAAAGTAGAAAAAAATCCCAATATCATCTAATAATTCTTAAATACGCTTAATTAGAAAGGTATATTCTTCTTTATCATTTATGGGTACATTAGTTAAATTAGGGTTTGGTTATGGACAAGTTAGGTTAGGTTAGATAGGGCTAGGTTTTTGGGACAGGTTAGGTGGCATTTCCATGATTCAATGTTTCTCCATGAAGTGATATGTTTTTGGGTTGAATATAGAATTTTTTTTGTGCCACCATTTACGTATTATTGATTTTGCATTATTAGAGAGTGGGCATGAGTAGGGTTAAAGACAGGTTAGGCTACATTTCCAATGTTTCAATGTTTTTCCATGAAGTGATATGTTTTTGGGTTGGATACAGAAATTCTTTTTTGTGACCATTTATTTGTCCTTGATTTTGCATTACTGGGGAATGTGCATAGGAGGGTTAGGGACAGGTTAGGTTAGGTAAGTTGAGGTTTAGGGTCTCACAAGCTCCTCAATAGTGTAGTTCTAAAATGACAAAATCATTCTCTCCTGTAGAAATAAAATGCCACCTGAACTTGACCAATCAAGCCTCATACTTAAGATACCTAACAAAACCATTCGTCTACTAACCTACCTTTTTAATGTTATGGTTATCTAACTGTATAATACTGCACCGTGTCATATTTTTGATAGTTAGGCTTTAAAGGGACGAAATGTGTATGCTTGAGATGGGTTTCGGGATATGAAGTTATAGAAGGAAAAAATAGAGCCAACTACCTAAAAATGGGCGTATATTTCAATGTTTTTCCATGAAGTGATATGTTTTTGGGTTGTATACAGAAATTCTTTTTGTGACCATTTATGTGTCCTTGATTTTGCATTACTGGGGAATGTGCATAGGAAGGGTTAGGGACAGGTTAGGTTAGGTAAGTTGAGGTTTAGGGACCCACAAGCTTCTCAATAGTGCAGTTCTAAAATGATGAAATCATTCCTGTAGAAATAAAATGCCACCTGAATGGGCGGCCCTCTCACACATGGGACTGGAACCGTTACTAGGCACAAGAGAAAGTGAGCTAAACAGTAAGATGGAAAAAGGGCTTGAGAAAGAAAAAACTCAAGCATTGGACAAAAGCACCCGATATGAAGCAAGCTAAGAGATTTATAAATCATTCGAAAAGGTAAGGCAACCGCCGATCCGCAGAATAAAATGATCGGTAGGACCAAATTCCGATTCTTCTGGTCTGCCTTTTCCCACTGGAGACAAGCCTTGGGGAGGTACAGACCAACCTCTGAAGATGGCAAAAATGCTGGAAGTAAAGGTTACCTGATAGTACTTCACATATTTTTGCCTTTTCGGTATAAACTAATTTGTATAATGTGTAGAGATTAGTGACCGTTAATCGATAGTTATTCAGATATCGTGAGATGCGGTCGGGTGTGATGTAGGTTTCAGAAAAACATTTTCTTTATCGTGCCAACGTTTCGATCTTTTATTGAGATCATCTTCAGGGCCTGGGGGTTGTAAACAAACAATGTTTACATTTAACAATTACATTTAGGATGTGGAAAAGTGAATTTATACAATGCAAAATATATTTTATATTCAAACAAAGTATTTCTACTCACTCAAAGTGTTTATCTTCTGTGTAATTGTGCCATCCTTGCGTGTCGTGTTGAGAGTGCCAGTGAGATTTTGCTGTTTTATGTTTATATATGTTTGGTGTTGAAGGGGTGGGGAAGGAAGTCGGTATATAAAAGACAATTTTGTGTAAGGCGTCGGCTTCTTTGAAGTGAAAAAAGCCGACAAAGGGGAACAATGTGTTGGTAATAGTTCGGCCAGATTATCCTTTCAGGATTATATAGAAAGGGATAAATAGGAAAAGGAAAGCTAAATTGTTGGACAATTAGACTATGTGAAATGTATTTGATGTGTGGAATGTAATGTAATGATATATGTGTTATCTATATTGTATTTGGTTAATGATATTGGCGTAGCTGTGACTGAGTTTACATGTATCTGTTCTGTAATTGATGCTGTGTTTATCTCTGTTGATATAAACCATTTCTAAGAAATTACGTTTATATTTGTTTTGTTCTGTATGTAATATTTTGGATTTTTGAAGTCAAAATTGTGTTGGTGTTCAAAGTTCCTAATTATCCCCTTTCTATATAATCCAAAAAGGACAATCTGGCCGAACTATTACCACTATCTTGGGGGTGGGTCTATTTATATAAATTGATAGTGTTCTGCCGGGAAGAAATCGTTTATCTAAAGATCGAACATCCGACGAGTTTATCCAGCAGCGACCACACGCCAATCAACGATAGGAAATAAAACAGGGAAACAAATAGCTACAACTAAACAAGGTAAAACTAAAGGTGATGCGGCTTTATGCCGGTTATTTATATTTATTATATACTTTAATGTTTATAATCAATGTTTAATTTGTAAGAAAATCAGTCTTCTTTTTTGAGGAAATGAGGCTTTTGCTTCTTCGGCTGAAGGTTTTCTTTGTTCTACACGCATCAGAGATTACCAGTTGTCATCCTGAAGCCGTTTAAAATTTTACTTCCTCCAGGGACAATTATTCGGACTAAAAAATCCCGTAACGTTTGGCGAATCATGGCGGTTGTCATGGACGGCTGGGACCCTCTGGAACAAAGATCTCCTTTGCAAGAGAATTTTCCATTTCTGAACATTTTATAACATATTTCTTGCGAAAAAGTTCTGAATTAGATGCACCCCTCATTATACGATACTTACCGTTTCTTGAGAGGTTGAGCATGTCTCGTGAATTAATTTTAATTTCATATGAGCACCAAATCGACGACGCTTTTCTGTTGGAAAATACTTTAAAACGAATATATTTCTATTTTCCCTTTCCGTCACTGTATTACTACCAAGTCCCATAACGAGACTACACTCCAGAACCAATACCTAACCGCTTCGGTCTTTCAAGCTCAAAATCTTAAAAGAGGTTTCACTAATAAAAAAATACTCAAAGGATAAAATTGAAAATCGACCTTAATATCATTAGCGCATAAAGATAATACATCCAAAACCTGGGAAAACAACGCGGTTACATCTTGGGTGCAATGGCAGAAAGAAATTTTGGGTAATGAAAAAGCAGACAAACTAGTCAGAAGAGGTTCTACAAGACCAACTATTAGCCCAGAACATATAATTGGGATAACAAAAACAAACATAGACTCCTACATCTCAGAATGGGTCAACACAAAGCAAAAAAAAAAATGGACGAATTCGAGAGGTGCATAGTAAACTCATGGATGTTCAATCCTTTTTAAAAAGATAGTTCCTACTCACAATAAGTTGTTTTGCAACGATCCGGATTTCGGGCCTTTTAGCTCATCATCGGGTTGAAGGACTTCTACAACCTGATGATGAGCTAAAAGGCTCGAAATCCGGATCGTTGCAAAACAACTTACTGTGAGTAGGAACTATCTTTTTAAAAAGGATTGAACACCACACTCACTCCATCATTTATCATGTCTACTCATGGATGTTTGGTCAAACCTGTTTCAGTATAACGACGTCTCTAAAGGAAAGCCCCATGCTACGAACTACTATGATTGGATCAATGTTGACCCTTCACACGGCAGACGAAATCACACACAGACCAAACCACGGAGAATAATGTAAAAACGCATATGGCCATAACAGCGAGGAATACAGGATGAAAAGTTCGTAAAAAGTAAAGTAGGAATGATCTTTACTCTCTTTGTTCCATTCACGCCGAAAGGCTGGACGACCTTTGTCTGTCATGAATTGCGGTTAAGCCGCTACAATTTTTTTATGGATTGGAATGTGAAACTTCTCTCAATCCTATTTATCCAGTTTATGGTTTCATCCAGGAATTGTAAATTAGTTAGTCATTACCAAGAATGATTAAGAAGTGTGTATTGAGGTCTGCGGGATTGGGTCGTTTTCAGTCATTGTGTCTATTCAGTTGTTATCCTCGCTGATTTTTAGCGTTTCGACCTATATTCAGTAATGAGATGTTTTGACACCAAAACGTAAGTACAGACGGGCAGGTAGACGTAAGATATTCATTGATCATTAATCTGGTAGGCCAAAGCTCAACAAAACAAGCTACAAGCTGTTTGTAGCTAAATCAATGACAAAACCCTCATTGGCGGCCATACAAACACTAATAAACCAATCTCCACTGGAAACATTATGTACAAGTAAAAGGTAGGAAAAGTTCATACAGATTCCAGAAACAAATAAATTGTTTGGGGAGTAAATATTTCGGCAAATAATAACAGATATAATCTCGGGAACATCCTTTGCAAAGTCCTGTAAAGGTTTAACGGACTTCAAAAACGGGTCAGATTCAGACGAGCAGAGAAAATAATTACAATGTAAAAAGTCACATCCACAGTAGTTGAATTCATCCAAAATCTGGGAACAAAGGAATTTTTGGTAAAGAAAGTCCAAAGGAGGATCTGCAATCTACAGGCACTTGGAATAACAAGAACAAACATAATCGCCTCCATCTGAGAACGGGTCGACATAAAATAAAGTGAGAAATGGACGAACCCCAGAGTTGCCAGATATAGCAAACACATGGTTAAAGAACCCTCGCCAAAACAGGCAAACAAATAGCTACAACGAAACAAGGTAAAACTCAGGGTGGTGCGGTTTTATACCGGTCACTATCATCTGAGAAAGCACTTAACAAAATTGGTATATTCATATTATGGTATATTATATAACCCCATTTCGAATGTTATGTAATGAAGAGGAAGAAACTGCCAATAGGACTGAATGAGAACTAATAGCTGGTTAGAGAATTAACCTAGGTTACAAAGAAGACCTGCAGAAATGAACAGTCAATGACCTACTTATTAAAAGAAGGATGGAGTCAAATGAACTTAAGTACTGAACTAACGAACGAGAAAATCTACAATAAACCAGAAGATTTCTGGAGG